ATGGGAAAATGTTCAGAGTATGTTAAGCAGAAAAATACAAATGTAAAAACCATGTAACCAGTGTGATTAAAAATGTTTAAAACAGGGCTGGAGATTTAGCTCAGTGGTTCCAGTGCCTGCCTCGAAAGCAGCGCAAGGTCTCAAGTTCGATCCCCGGTACTAAAAAAAAAAAAAAAAAAAAAATGACAAGGAATTACTTTCATAAATGGGGGGAAATGTGTAGAAACAAGTTCTAATAAGCTCTTCAGATAGATCTTGCTAACATATTTTCCCAGAACACTCAACTTGATGTCAAGTGCCTAGATTATAAACTAATCTCTCTAAAGTTTCCACTTCTCAAGAAAACCTGGTTTTTATTTTATGCTGTGGGGGCATACAATTGATATTAATTAGTGTCCTTGGCCTCTCTAAAAGGAACACAGAAACTGAAGCAAAAGCTTGCTAAGCCATACATAAATCAGCTTATGACTCAGGCAACCTACTTCAACCTCCTCACGTGGATTCAGCTTGCTGGATTCAGCTTGTGACTCTAGTTTTGTCCTCCCTTTATCTGCCTTTCTGATCCATGATGGCTCCTAACCTCACAATCCCTTCCTCTGTTGACTCATAAGCTCCTGGCCCTTTTTAAACTTGTAAATTGAAGGGTTGAACTAGATGACCTCAAAGATCCTTTTAGATTCTACAACCTCACAATTTACAACTGCCTTGCACCCAGGAAACACATAAATTTGATGAGGGAAAAACTCAACAACATATTAACTCAAGCAGCAATGCTATTCCCGACATTTTCTCCTCCTTTCACTTCCAAGATCTCAAACAATGCTTCCCTTTAAAGGCCTCCCCTTAATTTTCCATTGACTCCATTAAGAATGGCTCGGGACCTCAACTATTTTTTCCATTCAAAGCCACAGAACATTTATATTTTACAGCTTCAGAAATAAAGGAAGTCGTGCTGGGAGGAGTAGGTCCAGATTGGGAGAAAATCCAGGATACAAAAAAACTTATCAGTCTGGAATTTCTATAGAGGAAATTTAATAGTGATAAAGACAAAGTTCAGCACTGAGATCTCAAAATGACATAGAAGTGATTTAGCTTAACAGTAGCATAACAAGTTGTGATTTCAGTGCGTCAAGTGCATACAACTGTTTAGGAAAAAAACTACCAACCTTTGTTTTGCTTTTATTAAAAACGAAGTGGAGTGTAGAAAAGGAGTGAAGGTTACTGTCAGCCGATGCTGTGGACCGCATATTGTATTCTGTTCTGAGAGTTCCATTCTGAGGGCAGAGGACTCAGAAGTTAGCAAGTGGACTTAAAACTGTCAAATCAGAAACAGCTGATGGAAAAAGGAGTATTTAGTCCAGGGAACAGAGAATGGAGGAAAGGATGGCAATCTCAATGACTATGGAAGCCCAAAGAGTCAAGTAAATGAGGGAAGTTGGCTGGTAAGGACTTGGGAAAATAAAGTCTATTTAATGTCTAAAGGAGATTACTGGCATCAGAAATATGTGCTATGCATCAGAAATCTTCAAACATCTGAAGAACTGCCATAGGGAACAGGAATAGATTTGTTCTATGTGGCCCTAAAGGATGACATTTTTAGGGAGGCAAACCACATCTCAATCTAAGGAAAAGTTTCCCAGCAGCCAGAGTACAAACTGAAATGGGCTGCCAAGGGCTGGTGACATCACTGTAAGAATTTACATGGGGAGCCAGGTGTGGTGGCCCATGCCTGTAATTCCAGCACAAGGGAGGCTGAGGCAGGAGGATTCCCACAAGCTCAAGGTCAGCCTGGGCTATATAGTAAGACCCTGTCTCAAAAAAAAAAAAAAAAATTTACATGACAACAGGTTAGTCAATATTACTAACCAGTTCAAGAATTCTGTCACTTTTTACCTTGGTCAAATAACCTAATCTCCAAGTTCGGTTTTCTTTCCTGCCTATTTCCCCTTGAAAAAAATGTTAATGTTTATCCTCCCACCTCTCAGTGACTTTAAAGATCAAAATCTGTGTAAGAAAAATGTGGGGTTAGGAAGGCACCACAGTGCTAGTTCCTGCCTACATGCATGAGCCCTAGGTTCAATCCCCAGCACCAGGAGAGAGGAGAATTTAAAAAGGGGGCGGGGGAGGGGGGACTATACAGCCACAAAGAACTTAAATAGTCACTCTTATAATCTATGTCTTATCATTCTTATGCTAAGGGTATATTCCCAACCTATTTTATTTTTTTATTACTCCTCCCTCAAAGTAACAAAGGAAGTTGTAGAAAAGGGTTAAAATGATGACAACGTGAGACATTAAGATAACAGGGAAAACTGTCAACAAAACAAACATCCTGGATGTTAATCATTAATATCTCTGACCAGGCTAAAAGGTACTAGACCCAGTCAAATGGAGGAATATACAAAGGTAATGGAGTGTGTCTATGTGTGTTGTGATATTCTAGGCCAGGCCAGGCACAGGCAAGCTACAGCTACTGCCTCGTTTTCTTTTTCTTTTTTTTTTTTTTTTTGGTACCAGGGATCAAAGTTGGGACCTTGCACTTTGGGAGGCAGGTGGGGGAACCACTGAGGTAAATCCCCGCCCCGCTTGGTTTTCTAAGTAAAGCTGCACTGGAGCACAGCCTTGCTCACTCACTTGGCTATGGATTGTGTAGGCATTACTGCATTTGTTATGGATTGTGTAGCTATTCTTCATATACCGCTTTCACTATGGCTCATCCTCCTATGGCTCCAGCCTGGGATTTGAATGGGTCACTTGGATGCCTCTGAGCAATATCCTACACCATACACTATGACCTAACTACAGGACAGGTTTGTTTGTATGAGTCTCCAAACTCCTACTTGCAAGATTACAGACTTTTAAAAATCCTGCTTCTTTTCAACCTAATTATATCACCCAAGACACTTGGAAGACTGAAAATGTAAAGTCGTGTGCGACTGGTTCACATAGGAAATAATCGAGCTTGCTTACAGGTGAGCACAACTCACTCTCTTGAGAACTCAATGCCACCTGCCTGAGATTTGCTATTTTCACAGAACCTCCTTTCTTTCCTGAGTTTAGCTGCCTCAACATCACATGCTTTAAAAAAGAAAAGTGACAAAAAATTAAGAGAAAACAAAAACAAAAAGAAAAGAAATACTTTAGGAGAAATTCTCTGAGCTGAGCTTCATTTCCAGGAGAAATCAGTAGGCAGCTGTAGGACTCGATGAAACGTTCCTGCTTCACACTCCTTGCTCCTTGAAGTAACTGCCCGAGACGCTCACACTGTCACCGGGATTTTCACTTTTTTCCTGGCTCTACCTCAGGCAATACCAACCACCCTTCTCCAGAAGGCTTGTCGCCAGTCACAGCTCCACAGGGACAGCTGCCACTGCCTCCCCCTGGGCCACCCTTCAATGTCACTCACCCCACAGCTAGCCTCATGTCCTGAGGACATGGCCTCCTCTACTACCAGACTCTTCGGAGGGCTTCAAATCCTCTGTTGGATCTTGCTCCCTCTCCTAGAAAATCCATTTCTCTTTCTAGCCTGTTCTGTCAGTCTTTACTCACAGGTGAAAACCCTCAGACCTAATTAAGAAATTCCAACCACACACCAAATACTTAATAAGTTTTCCCCTAGAAAGTGAGAGGTAGGGGAATGAAGACACAAGCTTGTCAAGCATCTAAAGTTATTAAATACATGACTCAAGAACGTTAATGGGCCAGAATTCTAGTCCTCTTTCAGAAAACATTCTGGCTAGCCTCTCATACTCCTGAGTATTTACTCCCCAGGCTCCCCACAGGCAAGAGATCAAGAAATTCCCACAGGATAAGGTATTTTTAACACACCAGAAAAAGGGTTTAAGAACATGGCAATGAAGCTGTTGAGAAGGCCTATCTGTGCTCATGACTAAAAATGCCTCTCGAATTACCAGCCCAGTGTCTGGACAATTACACAACAGTCACTGGACCAGAGAGCAAGGCTCGCTGATGGGCAACATATGGAAAAGTGCAGTCTGCAGGACTGCCACACACTCGGATTTGAAAAAAAGAAAGAAAAAGAATCCCCCCCCCGGGGGGGGGGGCGGATGCTGTCTTCAAAGGCGAAGTTACCTAAATTGGAAGAACAACAGAACAAAGTGAAGAGAAGAAATGCTAAACACACCTCTTAAATAAATCACGTATGGGAAAGAAAAAAGGACCTGCGGTGTTCCGCGTTTCCTCCTCCACCAAAGGAGCCAAACCAAAAGGACCTAATGAAGCCTTCAGAACGTTTAAAATAAAAGAAAAAACAGTCCTGGCTGGGGAGAGGAATCCCACCAAATTCTGGTCTGCTGGGGGTCATAGGGAGTTAAAAAGGAGCTAAATGTGGGCACGGGAGAAAGCAGCACCCCAGCCCCGGCTCGCGCCCAAGGGCTCCGGCCTGGGACTGTCGCCTCGTATGGCTGGGGTACGGAGGGCACCCCGCAGCCCCTCTCCGGAGCCCCAGGAGCACCGAGCAGCAGCACCTGGACCCCTAGACAGGAGGCGGCCATCAGAAAGAAAAGGAGGCGAGCCAGGAACGCAAGCCCCGGGAAGGGCGGCTGCAAGTGGCTGTGCGTGGAGCAGCCAGACAGAGGTGGGAGTGTGCACGAGGAACACGGGAGGAGGGGGGCGGACAGCCGGACAAACGTCGCGACAGGAGACGCCGCCGCCGGCAGCTAGGCAGCTCCGCGGCAGGAGGGCGGAGGGCTCCGCGGATGCCGGCGTGCAGGCAGGCGGCCGGAGGTGCGTCCGGGTCCGGGGCCGGGGCCGGGGCCGGGGCCGGGGACGGGGCCGGGGGCGGGAGCGGTGCTCCCCACCCGGCGGAGGCCTCCGGTCTTCTGCCAGGTCCCCGCGGCGCGGAACAGGCCTACTCCGCTCCGCCGCCGCCTCCCGCCCGGCTCGGCTCCTGCCGCCGCGTCCCCCGCGCTCGCGCCCGCCCCAGACCCTCTCGAACTCGGTCCCCGCTCCTCTGGCTCCCGCGCCGGCCGAAGTCCTACCGGCTTCCAGTTCAGGGAAGAGCTGCCGCCACCGCTGCCGCCGCCTGCGCGAAACTCGGCTTCCCAGAAGCCGCCCTGGCCGCCAGCCGCGCGCCTCCCAGGCCGCGCAGGAATCTCCACTCCCCCTGCCGGCCGACAGCCATTTCCGACAGGCGACTGCGGAACTTACCGAAGTGCACCGGGCCGGAAATGGCCGAAGCGGTGTGGGCTAGCCCGCGGGAGGGGGCGGGCGCGTTCGGAGTTTGGCCGACTGCACCCGAAGGCCGCTGCGGGGCTCACAGGTCGAAGCCGCAGGGCCGGAGCGGGGGATTGTGGGAAGCGCGGGGATGCGCGGGCTCCACAACTTGAGACCTGCGTGCTACGAACGCCATTTGGCCGCGGAGTGCGAAGAGAATGCTTTGTTGCGGACCCCCGTAGGACCTGGACCCCTCTGCTTCAGCAGGGTCGCAGGCGGCCCGGAGCATGCGGAATGGCATTCAAGGCACCCCCTCCCCAGTCTAAAAATAAACCCATCCCGGGAGGCGACCCTTCCCAAATGAGGCAGCTGCAATTTGGAAACGCTGAATATTTAACTACAAAGAAAAGGCACGTTTGTAAGGATGCTTAACAAAAAATCCCGGGGCTTTGCAAAAACAACAGGTTAATCAGCTGTGTGAGTTAAAGGATAAAATGGTCACTGTTAAAATTCCTAAGAGTCAACCCCAGTGAACCCAAAAGTGCACATCTGCTAACCCCAAGGAACTAGTAACTGTGTCTGTCCACGGTTGGACATGAGGACAAGACCCCTCAGGCGACCGTAACAAGGAATTGGGATGGAGGGAGGACCGCTTACCAGTCCTGAAAGAGGCACCTGGTCACTTGTTAATTTAGGATTGAGTTATAATCATCTTTTAAAATATATAATTGCAGGATAATCTAAGACCAAATTTGCTTTAACATTTTTTTCCAGAAGTTTTAATCCCCAGAGGACACAGTTTCCTCCCCAGAAAGCCCCAGACACCAGGCCAGGTTGCCTCGGGTCCCTGTGCTTGGGTGGTCTGGTGCTTTAAGAGGGCAGCACCTCAGAGTTGCACAGCTGCCGACCCATGGCCCTCCTGGAGTAGCTGGGAGGCTGAGAAAACAGGGAAGACTGATTGGATTCCCACAGGGGACAGTTTGGATTAAGGTTGTTAAGGATTCCATTTACAAAACAAAACTTTCAAAATGCTAGCAACCTAATCCATCCCCCCAAATCAGCCCCTTTCTCTCTGAACCTTTTTCCTTTCTTTCCTGACATCTTGTTACTCTGTCCTCTCCTATTCTTCTCCCATCACATCTACTTCTTCCTTGCCTTTGCCCTTTGTTACTATGAACGAACATACTCTTTGAAAGGCCAGCCTGCATTGTTTATGTACAAAAACATAACTTTTACCAGTTTTGTTGAGAGCCAGATGAAGGAGAAGCAACTGTACAAACCAGAAGCAGTCCAGAAAATGAAACTGGGAAAATGTGGTCCACATAACATGAATTATTTCATCTGTGTCTCTTCTCTACCCCCCTACCCCCACAGCTCATCTGCTTGGCTGGCCTCCAGCAGAGTGTGGTAGCAGCAGGCAGGAGCCTGGCAGTGTGGGAGGAGACCTGACAGGAAACAGGGAAGAATTTCCAGGTATTGGTTCACCTCCACACTGGCTGGACATGCAGATACCTGCTACTAACAGGAGTCAGTCATCTTATGCATTAAGCAACTTAACACGTTGCTGTCCCTAACTCCAACTTACTGGATTTTAACAATAACCGAGCATCAAGAAGGGATATTTACCAATAACTTGGAGGACCCATAACTTCACTGTCTTCTTGCCGCTGCAACCTGCTGCCACGAATCATTTCCACCTGCTACAGATCCCTTGCCACAGCACTCCAGTCCCGATTTTCCCTCGGGCCTCTAGATACCATCACAGCAGCATCATCCTATTAGCACATATTTTCTGAATGCTTAATTACCAGGTAATGAGTTACACCCTTTATATGCACAGTCTTATTTTAATCTTACTGGGAGGTATCTACCTATAGACAGGGAACTGAAACTTTAAGAAGCTAAATATATTAGGGTCAGAGTTTGGTGCAAAGTGCAGATGGGCTCCAAGTCCTCCTCTGAACTCTAATTTTTATTTTTGGGGGGGTACCAGAGATCGAACTTGGGACCTTGTGCTTGTAAGGCAGGCACCGGAACCACTGAGCTAAATCCCCGGCCCTGAACTCTGTAATTTTTTGTTGTTATTGTTGTATTGGGGATTAAACCCAAGGCCTTTACAATGAGCTACATCCCCAAACTTTTTCAAAATTTTGAGCCAGGGTCTGACTAAGTTACCCGGGCTGGGCTTGAACTGGCCATCCTCCATCTCAGCCTGAGTGCTGGGATTACAGGTGTGCACCACCACACCTGGCTTCTTTATTTTTTTCATTTTACTTTTTTTAGTACTGGAGATTAAACACAAGGCCTCTTGCACACTAGGAAAATGCTTTACCACTGAGTACATATCCAGCCCTTTTTATTTTATTTTGAGACAGGGTCTCACTATGTTGGCAAGGCTGGCCTCAGAGTTACCATCCTGCTGCTTGTTTCAGGCTTCCAGGTAGGTAGCTGGGATTACAGGTGTGCGCCACCACCTCTGGCTCTACTCCCATATTCTTGACCAGAATCATTTGATTATCTTACCTGGATGTTAAACTGAATATGTCACACTGAAGCCTTGCTGTCCTTGAATGTCCTTGTTTAAAATGTTTCCAGTATTTTTCCTGACACAGAAAATCCAAATTGGCATCACCTTTGACTTCTCTCTTTACACTCACATTCAATTTCCAAGAGTTAAAGGCTTGACCTTATAGTCTCTACCATCCACCTCTTGCAATTCCACATCTACTTCACTGGTCCGCGTCCCCGTTACTCCTGGACTGTTGCCTCAGTACCAAAATTCCTGGCTTGGAAAAGATAATCATTTCTCCTTAAGAAGCCAGTGCCATAGGATAATGGCAATGAAACTAGTCTTCATTGATCTTACCATGTTTGGAAGTTTTATGGCATTTATTTCTCTCTCTCTCTCTTTTTTTTTTTTTTGGTACCAGGGATCAAACTTGGGTCCTTGTGCTTGCAGGGCAGGTGACCGCAGAACCACTGAGCTAAATCCCTGGCCCCAATTATTTCTCTTTTTAATTTTGAACTTAATCTAAAATAGTTTCCTATTGTTGTTTGATAGGCATCTATACAGATCTTTATCTGCACTAAGAATTCAGGAAGAGCAGGACCCACTGTATCTTTGGTTGCCAAAAGCAGGAACCTATGAGTCTTCTCTCCATGTAATCACAGGGACCCAACATTAAGTCTCCAGTCTCCTTTCTTTTGACTCCTAATTTTAAATTCCTAGAAGACAAACATGATTGATCCAGCTTGGGTCACATGTCTTGGATCATTCATCTTGGGCTAAGCAGCAGTTCATGCAGGAATAAACATAACTACTAGGAGCCTTGCCTATAAATGGGGCTTGTCCCCAGAAGAGAGAAGAAAATGGAGCCCACATACAAAGGGAAGCAAATAAACCCATGAGAGATGGAGGGAGAACCCTCAGAGTCTTTTAGCTCTTACTATGGTTTAGATCTAAAATGTCCCCCTGAAAAAAAATAAAAATTAAAAAAAAAAATAAAATGTCCTCCTGAAAGCTCATATGTTCATTCGGAGGCAGTGCTTCAGGAAGGTGGTTGCATCATGAGGGCACTAACTTCATTAGTGGGTCCTAATTTGATGGTATTATTGGGAGGTAATAAAATCAAGAGGCAGGGCCTAGTTGAAGGGAGTGGAGCATGGGGGTGTGGACCTTAGGGACTATATCTGGTCCCCTGCTCCTTCCCCTGGGGCTCTCTCACCCTCTCTGCTCATTGGCTGCCATGGGGTGAGCAGCTCTGCTCCATCATGTCCTTCCATCATAATGTCTGAACCTCACCACAAGCCTAGAAGCAACAGATCCAAGTGACCATGAACTGAACCATCTAAATCGACAAGCCAAAATAAATCCTTAAGTTCTCGAGTATTTTGGCAAAAAGTGGACTAACACAACTCTGGTCTCCACATGCCCTGCTGTCATCAGATGTCCATGAGATTGCATATGGAGGCTTATTATAAAATATATCCTTTGAAAAAAACATTATTTAAGCTAACATGAATAGTTTTCTATTCCTGGTAGCCAAACATGCCCTGACTAAAGTTCTAATACTCTTCCCTGAAAAGAACTGAATAGTTATAGTGTGCCAGACACTGCTCTGAACACTTGTCATGTACTATGGTTTAACTAAAATGTCCCCCCAAAGTCTCATGTATTTGGAAGGGAACTGAATCATGGGGGTGCTGTACTCACGAATGGACCCAACCACTGATGAGTTCAGTAGCCGAATATGCTGCTAGGAGGTGGGCTTGGATGAAGATGGGCCACTGGGACCTGACCTGGAAAACTATATTCTTGACACCAGCTCCTCCCTTCTCTCTTTGCTTGCTGGCTAGTATGACTTGAGCAGCTTTTTATCCACCATGCCCCTTGCCATCTGTTTCTGCCTGGAGACAGCTGACCATAGACTGAAAGTGAGCCAAAATAAATGTCTCTCCTTTAACTTATGATGTTGAGTATTTTGCCCCAGTGACAGGAAAGTGTCTGTGGCATCATTCTATTATCTCATTCAGTCCTTTAACGACACTAACATGATTATTTCCACTTCACAGATGAGGAAACTAGAGCCCAGAGAGGTTAAGTAACTTGCTCCACTCACATGCCTGGTAAGTGGTAGTGCCGGGTTTTGGATCCATACAGTCTGACTCCAGGAGAGCCTGAAATATTAACAACTATGCTATCTTGTAGTTAAGAAAAACACTAATAGCACTGTGAATTGCATGCTGCATTCATGAATTTGATTAAAACATCTGATTTCTCAAATGAGTTCAAATGCAGAAATGATACAAAAGACTGGCTATCTAGATAAATTGGTAAGAATTTAATTTTTTCACAAGGGACTTAATAGTTTGAGTTGTAGATATTAGAGAAATATAAAATGTGTGGTGTAACACATTTAATAATAATAAATAATAACACTAAATAAAACTGTTCTTTTATGGGAAGTTATTTATTTTACAGATT